AACAGTGTGAGCAAGTTTTTATCATTATTCTTAGGAAACCGTATCGTGTTTCTAAAAACGATATCCCTCATTTAAATTTTTAAATTTAAGGTTTTATTTTTTTTACCCCAAATGAATTGATATGATCTGTGATATTTTAATATAATTTATGTTAAATACTGTATGAATTTTATGAAAAAAGATAAAAAAAAAGCCCACCAGAAAAAAATTGGCCTTGTGGCTTCGTCATTGACTGGCCAGTAACAGAGTTAGGCAAGAAAATACCATTTTGTTGGAATTTTAGCGATATTCACAGGTCTGAAGGCACTTTGTGATCAAGTTTGTGCCAATTCCATCCAAAAATCGGTCGAACCCCATTGCTGTGCTAAAATTGGCCATGTTTCTAACTACTAATCTAGAAGAATCTTATCCACTCTCAGTTGCCTCATTAATCATCTTCATCAGCATCTCTTGGTCCTTAAACTTTAACCAACGCACTCTCTTATTCCGTTTCATTATATCATTTAATTTGATATAACTTTGTTTCTTAGGATATTTTTCACCGTCGTCTGTCTTTTCAGGCCATATTTTGGCCATTATTAACAATATTTACGTAAGGCCTGCAGAAAATACCCGAGAAAAATAGAATACTAAATAAATTGGGCTGGTTTATAGACATGCAATCCAATTCACACCTAGTGCTTTATGTAACATTTCTATTTCAACACCGTCACTTCACTAAATGTGTCAGCTCCTGTCAGAAAAAACATATTTTTCATATATTCCTGGCTGAAGGGCAAGGTATCATTACTATATAAAAATCTGAATAATATTTTTACATAAAATCAAGGTTAATTCGTTGAAAACACAAGAAACATACGTTTCAACTTGTTATCGTCAAACTTCAATAAGATTATCTTCCTTATTAACACCGGTTCAACTTACTTTCAAGGGTAATATACCTGGTATTTCCGCTTTGTTTTTGTTTTGATGGCATCCAAGTAAATTTATTATCAAGGCCTAACCACGTAGTCGGATACCGAAAAAGAATTTAATCGGCCTAATTATCGGGAGTTCATGTATGCGAAAGTGTACCTTTCTTCGGGGGCGAGTTGTGGAATAAAGGACTATATTGAAGCAAGGAGCCACAGGAAGTCGAAAGTAAAATATTTTCGGACGATTTAGTCGAAAGCTCGGCCGTGACAAGGGGACCTCCAGACGACCAAGACGGTAGCCTATCACTTTTCAGAGGACCGAAACGATCGAAACAGATCTTCACCCGATGATATAAGGTAGTACGCGATAGTGATCACAGGTACCCGATGATTTTCGCGATATAAAACACTCCAACAACCAAAAACATGATTGGGTACTATCGGGAACAAAACACTCCTTGGAGAAACTAGTATTTAAACATCATTTGAAGAAAATGCAAATGTTCAAGTTAGGAATGATTTATTTATTTAGACAATATCAAGACTTGGACGTTGATAGAAACATGTAAAAGCCCAGAAATGGAATATTTGTTTTGGCAAGATTTTATCATTTTAATTTCAGTTGAAATGCTGTTTTTTTGACAACTCGAGTTGACATAATAATATCACCCTGGATCCGGATTTTAAACAGTCTTGGTATCTCTAGTCGAGTTTACATTTCTTGTAGTTTTTATCATATCATATCATACACAATTTTTCATGGTTCAAATGCGGAAAAGCTTTTGTGGGGCCCTCACAACACACTCCAACTATGTCTTGGGTGAATCTCCATGTCAGCTGCGTTAATTGGCCCAAAATGGCTTACATATTGTTACAATGACTTTCTCCATTGCGACCCCTCTGCAGTTGTCAGTCATGCAGGAAGTCAACAGACGTTTCCAAACAGAGGAATTTTCGGATTTTACCAGATGACTTATCATCTGCAGCATAACAGCACAATGTACAGAGATGAGTCAGGCCAACAGATTCAACAGAATTGGTCGCTGTTGTAGTAAAAGAGGAAGTAATTTGTACATTTATTCCATTATAGTCTAGTATTATCGTCAGTTGTATTTTCTATATAAAGACTTTGTGACTGCAGAGCATATATACAAAGAAGGCTTACCAGCCTTTCACAACGACATTTGAAATTGTCATACAACCCAATACGGTATTATAATAAGAGAAATATTGTATACAGGGAAGTGTATATTTCAACTCTCAATCTCCCATTATTTTCAATCTATTAAACGAAAAAGCCTACAGTTTATTTCATGAATCGACATTACAAAGAAAATATACACTAGTTTACAAAATAAATAGAGAATAAATATTATTAGAACACAGCTTGCTATGGAAAATTCATCGCCCAATTTTATGTTTTTCTTAAAGATCATAATTTTGAACCTATAGATAGAAACTGACATTGATATTGCCGTTTATTTTACAATTCTGGAATTCGGAATGTGGACCGACTGGCTTTTCACTGAATATGACACAACATCCGCTCTCATCATTGCTATGATACAATTTGTCCAAAATGGGTCTGTATTCATTAGTGGACTTGTGGATCTGGTGTCATAAACTAAACAACAGAATCACTCTTTCTACCGATAAATCCATAAAACTAAGTAATTACCATAAAACTACAGGTTAATATTATTAAGTGTTTTTCAATAATAATTATTTATTACTGTTGTTTAGTTTTGACCACTGATGAAATTATACTCTTTATTGCCTACCTTTGAGACTTTTAATCTTAAAATGTCCTCACACCATAGCGATTACCAGTTATGTATGGTTGGGAATAATGGACGTGGTAATGAGTTCCTAATGCAAAATACAACTTCATACATTTGTTATATAATACCGTAGATATACAAGTTCTTCACTTACTTCCAGTATTTTTCCTACATTTTACTCTGTTACTTATGTGCATATGAAAAAGATATTGTCGTCCTAAAATTATATTTAACATGCCAAGGGTTATTTTTTTTTCACTTAAAAGTTCAAAGGTTGTAAAAAATTCTCTTAAGCAAATATATTGTTATCAATATTTTTTTTTAATTAAAAGACAAAGTGTAAGTAAGATTCTCATTCTATCTGCAAAATTCAACCAAATATTATAACCTAACAATGACAGACCACTCAGATGCAACAAACATATGACTTGTGTTTTATTGAACCAATGGACATGTTGGTTTATTCATCCTATAGTCGCATCTTTGTAAACATGGATTATAAAATTGATTTAAGTAACATCTGCAAGATATTGCGTATTGGTATTTCCTACAAACCCAATAGTAAATGGCATCATCGTAAGGTACAGATTCACGTCTTGTATAACACCGAGCTATAAATAAAAACATCCTTTATATTAAATATGACCTTTGCGTATGTGTGACAAAAACATAAGGTATGTATTGATCGGGGACAAATAGACCGACTGACTTAAAGGGGGGGTGGGATTCCAAATGCGGCAGCTCTGTCTAGCGCATAGGCGCAAACCTCCCTTGGTGCGACTTGATATTGAGAAGGTTTTTCTCCCAAGACAGTTTGTGAAAAATAGAATTAATTTGGTACATTATGGCATTTCGGGGCAAAAACATGCCAAATTTATTAAAATTGCTAGAAATGAAGTGCGGGTACATTTGGGATATAGATCTTTTTTCTAGTTTTGCAAATAAACATAGGTGAGAAAGAATAAAATATGTACGAAATGTTAAGATATGCCAGGTACTGTATACTTACGGGGTGCAGGCCAAACCATCATACAATTGGATACAGGGGGAACTTGAGGATAAACTGTAGGGTAAGGAGTCCATATAGGTGTAGGTTTAATTGTTATACGTGTAGGGGAAGTAGGTGGGGGAGGATTCGAGTTTCTGAAATAAGAGAAAAAATAGTCCAATATCACTCACATGACAGTAAAGAAAAATGACAGTTTTAATCTTCTGGATCCTCGCCGTTATTGGCTCCACCTCCTCCAATCCAACCTACCCACCACTGACCCCAATAATCCCCATTAATTCCCGCATTATTATTTCCAGCATTCCAGTTTCCATTCCATTGTCCGTTATCCCAATTGCCATTATTTCCACCCCACTGCCCATTGTTCCAAACATTATTTCCATTTGCATTATTTCCACCGTTATTATTGGCATTAACATTATTGTTTCCATCGTTATTATTGGCATTAGCATTATTATTTCCACCGTTATTAGCATTATTATTTCCATCGTTATTATTGGCATTAGCATTATTGTTTCCATCGTTATTATTGGCATTAGCATTATTATTTCCACCGTTATTAGCATTATTATTTCCATCGTTATTATTAGTAACAGCGTTATTATTTCCTCCGTTATTGTTGGTGTTTAAATTATTGTTTCCACCGTTATTGTTAGCAACAGCGTTATTATTTCCTCCGTTATTATTAGCATTATTGTTTCCATTGTTATTATTAGCAACAGCGTTATTATTTCCTCCGTTATTATTAGCATTATTGTTTCCATTTTTATTATTAGCAACAGCGTTATTATTTCCTCCGTTATTATTAACATTATTGTTTCCATTGTTATTATTAGCAACAGCGTTATTATTTCCTCCGTTATTATTGGCATTTGCATTATTGTTTCCAATGTTATTATTTGCAACAACATTATTAGATGCTGCGTTATCATTTCCTCCATTATTTTTGGTATTTGTGACGGCATTTACTGCGTTAACGCCATTTGTCCCACTTCTGCAATATCAAATGATGATTATGATTATAATCTACCTTTCAAAAAAGGAAAACGAAAAATGCTCCTTCTTTTTTCCCTGAATCAGGAATTTTCAAGCATAATTCCCAATGCAATTGATCTTACCAAAACGTCTACATTCCATTCTTCGTTCCAATGAAATTATACTTTTTTCTAAGAAATTAAGCCAATCGGTAAAGGATGAAAGCCAGTGAGGACAATAAATTCTGCTTTAAAGCCATTGTAACTATGTTATAAAAGCGAATGTTGAAAATTGGATATGTTTTGAATACTTTAAAAATGATTAAATTGATAGAGCAAACACGTACCCAGGTAACATGTTCTGTAAAACTGACAGTAAAGGATATTTCCCACCTCCACATGCATTGGTCGCATCATCTTGATCTAATGACCAAACCATGGAACCTGCTAGACCATTGGCAATTATAAACCTAGCCTGAAAAGTACAATATCGTATTAAATTTCCAAGAGGACTTTAGTTCCGTCTTTAAAGTTAACAATAATTTAGTAACTATGGAAATTTTGAGAGAAACATGGGAACAATGTCTGTATAAGAGAACAACACCAATTTGCTAATTTTGATATTGGCACAATCTGTGAAACTCAAAATTTTGTTGTTCAATGCATAGAAGGAATACTAAGGGTTTTTACTGAAAGAGACTAGGGATTTTGACCATATGTCGTTTCCACTTTAATTCATTAACAAAACTCGTGAGACTTTTACAGTCTTTCATTCAAGATATTTTGATACAATACTCAATAATAATTACTTTTCGTAATTTATCAATAACAGATGCATTCCGCAACTACATGTACTATTCAAAATAACAAAATAAATTGACACTAAAAGGTCCACAATATTACAATAATCCCTTTTCTAAACGACATTGAGGAAAGCTTAAGTTCAATGGTTATTACAATAATCCAACAAAAACACTATACAACCTCCTGAGGATTAAATTTTTCAATCCATTCATGAAAATTTGAAGTCGAATATATTTTCCTCATGTGAGTGATTTGAATGCCAGATGTTGTGAATTGGATCATGAACTATGATATTTAATATTAAAGTGCCACGACTAGTTAATCCTTTAAAGTACATGTACATAGCAATGATGAAATATAATGGGTTTCCAGTTCACGAGTAGGTGTAATTCACCGTGTGCAGTGTCTTTTCTGGTCACCGTGTAAAAAGCATGTGGTAAAAATTGACATTGTATTCAAGTCGCTGTAATACATACAGAGAGCGTCGATGATTTTTTACACATTCAGGACCCAATGAAAATTTAAATTTTCCTAAAACAAAATAACTAAAAGTAATTTTTTTTTATCCCTTTTGTTATTTTTCTGTCGATAAATTTTGCAAAATTAATAACGAAACTACTTAAGAGTGATAATAAGATTAAGATAATTATTGAGGTAACCCAGACTAAAAACAACATTTTACAATGGTTTTAATAACTAAACTCTGTGTCAAATTCAGTCTTGCTGATATAGACCATAGACTCTCACAGAGAAGCAGATTACTGCTTACTGTTAAATTTGATATTGAACGGCCTTTTCAACTTCTAACGGGTAACCCTAAGAACTAACCTTGCTTTGAAATGTATCTGTATTGTCGAAACCAATCCATTCCCATTGACCATTTGTTTGTCCAACAGCAGCCACTGCTTGCTGGTTTGTCAACTGTACAACCGAATGGCCAGTATTTAATTTTGAACAGATCTACATAAAACAAAAGGACAATTTGCTATATAAAACAAGGTTGAAACATTTGTTGTTGTTTTCGCGACACTGGCATGTTTTCCAAGGATACATTTTCGTATGTAATTCCATGGTTTACATTATATATCATATCCTTTAGATAACATTTAGTAATCGGCATAAATTAAATTAAGAAAATACTTTAATGGAATACAACTTCTATCTTTATTACAGGCAACGTTTCAATTAGGGTTCTCTAATCTTTATCAGGCGATACAAGTATTTTCTTTATAAAATTACATTTGTAAGATTTTGTTCAAGCCACGACTAGTCCAATCCACCCCCTCCCTAAACAATAGTAATCTCGTTTAAAATAGAAGAATGTAATAATATTTCGTCTATCTGTCGCCACTACCTACTGAATAGATCTTATTCAAGACTATATTTTGAATTCTGAAGTTCAGTTTAACTGGAATAAAAAACCTATTCATTAGTTATTACGAATAAAGTTTTCATCCAAATCCGCACCTGTCAATTGGAACACAAAAAACTTTCTTAAAACAGTAATTTTGATGAATTGCCAATGATATCAAAAAGCGCTTTTTAATTATAGTAAAAATGACAACTAATAATGTGGCCAACAGTTGTTGACTAGGTGTAACACAGTCAGAATTAAGTTGTCCAGTTTTCACAATGCGCGGTGTTGCCTTCAGTATTATATGGAAATGGTCGTTGAAAAAGAAAAAAACAAAATAGTTTTGATGTTTTCATGTGAACTTGAGTCTAATGACGTATTAACTATGACCACGGACATTGAAGATAATAAAAGTGAACACGTGTCAGTGACGGAAAACCAATTAATGAACGAACAAAACCTTCGTAAGAATCACTTGCACATGTGGATAAAGGAGTTTTTGCCAATACAAACCCAAAAATAAACCATTATGTTGTTATTTACAATATTAACGGAACAGTAATCTTTTCTATAATCGTGAGAATCGGCTCAACCTTATAAACACGTGGTCATGATTTTGCGCCATGTATTATTTAGGAATTTTAATATACATTATTTGTCGAAATATGAAAAACGTTAAGAAAGTCATCATGATAATTTGCTAAAAGTCATTTCCTGTCACTTGTGACATATTTATTATCCTACGCTCAATTAGCACAACGTTTTAAGTGTTTTGTTTTTTGTCTCTCCGGAACAAATCGTGACCTTCTAATAAACATAACCTTTCAATAAAGCCGAACGTTTCGAAGGGTAACTCACTATAGGGAAAATTCAACTAATTACCTGTTTTTTTTTGTAACTAAAAGAACTTTTCCCAATACCGACAAAACCCTATCTGGCATATTACTAACTGAAGAAAAAGATGAACGCACTTTAGAATTGCTTTGGGTGACTAATAAGGTTTCCAGATTATTCTATTTAATCAGCGTGTATGTTATTTAACGATTTATATACCTCTTATTGTACCTGTTAAAATTTAATGTAATGTACTAATAAACCAATTTATCTCTCTCTACTTAATAATAAGCTTTAATGTATATATAGTTTACCTATCACTTCTTATCATTATGTGCCTGAGGACGACGGGAGAAACACGTCGAAACGTTGCATAAAACTTTAACCAGTGATTGTTGTTCCATAAGGCTGTGTTTATATATTTATACGACTCGTGCAGTAAAGAAGATGCAAAAAGCTTGGAAACGTTACCTTACAAGTTACAAGCGGTAAAATAGCCCATCACGTGGAAAAAAATTAGAGCCAGTTGTAAAAAAATGAAGACAAGCTTTAAAGTAATTAAATGCAGGAAAGATTTTAAACATGTTTTAAGCAATCTAATACGAGTGATTAATGCGAGTGGCGTCTGAAAAATTAGTCTTTATCTAATATCATTTCATAATAATATGAAAGAAATGACTTGACGAAGAAGAATATAAATCCTTTCCTTATGCATGATGTTGACTCATCTTTCAGTTAGCAAAACGTCCCATAGCCTTTTTATATTAAATATAACTTAAATATAAATCAACAAGTTTCATAAGAGACAATTCCAGGAATAAAACAGACACTGTCAGTGTCCTTCCATTAAGAACCAGACACTTACTTTTGAATATTTCTGCATATCATAGCCATTGGGTTGCGCACCAACGCCGTTTCCATTTGGCTGTGCAGACAATTTGTACCCACGACCATAGGCACCCATTCCCAAAGCTAATTTATTAGCAGGGAATCCAGCATTAATCCATCCGATAACAGAACTATTCTGGAAAAGTAAACATATATATGCATTAATAAATAAATTACGTAAATTATGTATATTATTATGTAAGTGATGCATTATGAGAGTCAGATGCTTCCTCACTAACCGTGCCAGAGGCGTTGACGAAAAAAAGTCGAAGTTAAAATCAAACAATTTCTAAACAATTATTGTAAATCGAAATAAATGATCTGGTTGCTCCCATGGCAATATCATTCAATAACAGAATATTAGTACGTAATATCCGTTTCATTTCCAGAACGTCAGCGAGGTTAATAAGAAAGTGCTTTTTCAAAACGATTGATGGAGGGAAAGTAAATTAAAAAGACGATGCATACCACTTCAGGATATAATGCAGAATGATGTTGAGCTCCAAGTGATGGTCCATCCCACTGACCATGAAAATCATATGTCATAATATTGACAAAATCTAAATAACTGAAAATTTAAATAACAAATAATTCTATTATTAATTACATTAATAAAAACGTTCATTAATCAGATAAGACTTTTTGATGATTTCAAGTTCAAAAACACTTCTTAAAATACAATAGAGAATTGAGGCCCTTATACATGTAGTCTCATAAACCTTTTGACAGATGGAACGAGCAACCTAAAATTATATTTCCTTGCGTCTATCAACAAAGTGATAAGTGAGAATAGTGCATGATGGAGTAAACTTCGGCAGAGAACTAACTATCTTATTTCAGATCAAATTATCCACTCAATTAGAAAAAAATATAATATTATAATGGAAACACACTAACTTTCCTAGTTTTGAAATTTCATAATATGAATTTGCCTGTGGCATAGAAGCTGCAGTAGCCGCTGTTAATAAAAGTCTCGCTTTACCAGTTTGTTGGGCTTCAGCTATAAAACTATTTTGTAGAATCTGAAATAAAACCCCAAATGCCATAACTTCTACTATTAAATGTAGGGCCATATTTTCACGTTGACTGAGTGATACAGGGGCATGGTGGGATTTATCCTGAAGTCAACAAGAGCATTTTCTTCACTAGTAAGAAATGTTTTAATTATCCTTAACCTAATTAGCAGGGCCAAAAAGTATTATTATAAATCATCAAAGTCTCCTAGCTAAACGAATGGTATTTAATATCACTGGGGTCCAGATAATTACCTGAATCCATTGAGTGAATCTAGCTCTATCAGCGGATGTACTACCACGATCAGTATTGCCAGGATATTCCCAATCCAGGTCCAAACCATCAAATCCTCTTTGACGTAAATAACTTATTGCATTAGATGAAAACGTGACCATGTTGGTTTGACTGGCGACCAGATTTACATATTGTGAATTATCAGCAGTCCATCCACCAATAGCTAACAAAACTTTTAAATTAGGATTTGTGTTTTTTAAAGCAATGACCTCTGCTTGGCTGAAAATAACATGTTATTCCTGTTGGATTACAATATAGAGCGATGTTGAAATATTAAAACAGAACCCAAACCGTTGAAGTTCACGCTGTGCTATCTTCAGACAACTGACAAATTACAGCCTATGTGAAACTAGCAACATACTTCAGGTTCCTTTTAAATAATACGAGCACAATGGGCACAATGAATTGACTTGACAAAACAGATTGAAGAAATTTATCAATCTGAACAGCTACCATCAACTATTTTAGAGCTTAAAAATCTGGTCTTTTAGAAGAAATACCTCATCAGATCTAATGCTTTGATTACGTTTGTCCATACCGAATAGTGATTCATGTACTTACATCGTTTGATCGTTCCATTCAATGTCCTGAATTTGGGTACCCACTAATTTTCCAAAAGCATAAAGAATATGGGTACAGAGAAATGGGTCGACCAAACCGGTATCGAATTGTGAATATTGAGCCCAATTTGTAAAATAGCATACTCGGATGTAACCATTAGAAGCTGTAGAAAAAAAACAACAATAAGAAAGATAGTATATCTAAAAAACAGTGTGCCATAAAATTTATGACTTTATGCACAGAAATTGGAGTTTCTATAAATTTAAATTCTCTATTAAAAATGAAAATAACACTTACCGCTCACGAGAGTAAGCAGAATCGACAGCTTGAAAAATAACAGCATCTTTGAACATTTATTTAATCAGGTTTCTCTAAAGAAAGAAAATAGAATGTAATTGCACAGCGTGAAAATATACTAAATTTAGTACTAAGTGTCATTTGGGCAGGTCATAATTAATTTTGCCTATGGACACATAAAGGCCGGTTATCACTATCAAAGTCTTTTTTTTGGTCAAGTTCTTGATGGAAAGCGCAGATAGCGACAACTGGCATTAAGTCCGAGAGCTTGGAGTTTAATCATGAAATTGAGAGCAGATTTTATGCCTGCTTTATTAACTTATCATATATCCTATAGCATTCTTAATTTCACAAATTTGATGTTTTCTATGGTTTAATCAATGTCAACCAATCGATGTTAATTTCATTAAATATAAAGGAACAGTTTGTACTATATTTTGACCAATCATTCATCATTTGTCTGAGAAACGTAACAGTGTTCACAGCTCACCGTCTAAATTTGAGCATTCAAATCAATGTGTGTCCACAATTATCCACGTTTAAAAGTTAAAAAGTTGTCTTTTCTTTAGAAACTGTCATATATAGAAAAGATATAATCTATAGATATAAGGAAAGAGATATTTTTGAAGGGACTATGCGATTTACGTACATTTCTACTTCTTCTGTAGACTATTTACATATATATTAAAGACTCACATCAACATCTGTACCTTTAACTATGAAGTGTAGGCACATGATTGCATACAAAGAACACGTTGGGTGGTGCAAACGTCTGATTAATCGTTTGAGTTAAAGAAAAATTCTAATGCCCAGGATTTCAAAACTCATTCATCTAGTATGAATGTAGTGGTATCATGTATCATGGGTAGAAAGTAAGCATGCATCTTATCAAAATGCATCGCAATTAGTTTGGTTTTGTATTTTTCATAAACAGATGTTGTTTCCTAGATGTTCATTTCCAATTCATATTTACTCTTAAAGAAATGAATTCTGATTGTTAACCGTGTTTCAACTAAATCAATTTTAATCCCACGTAATTATCTGCCCACTCAATTCTTCTCATTTTTAAGAGTTAAAACTGTTTTTGTAGCCTACACAATCACGTACAAGGTTATCACGTAAAGAAACTTTACTAGTTAAAGGAGAATGGCTACGATCATGTGATTGATCAGTCACGTTAGATGATCAACCCCTTTACCAGTAGATCAGGGCCATCACAATTCTTACCCTGGATGAGTTTAGATTTATTGCCACCATAATTGTAAGATGTACGACTTGTGGTTCTGTCTCGAGAGTCGGTCCTTTGTTAATATATCTCGGGCGTAGTTCAATCATTCCCAACGTTGACAATTAGTTTCATTGTATGAAATCCGTTTGATTATATAATACATTGAATCAAAAGCGCAGATAGTTGTCATGCCAAATTCATGTCAGAGACTTGGACCCAGTCTTATCGTCGTTCAAGTAGAAAAGTAAAAAAAGCAAGTCGTGTCCAGACTCGTTCCGTTTAATAAGCTTCTATTTTCTGCTGTATAAATAATCACACACCGTTTACTGCACCAGACAGTGTACGTAGTTTTACACCCGAGGATTTGTCTCCCGAGAGTCGTTCAGGTGTAATAAAATCAAGTTTGAACATCTTTAAGCTATTTTCAATTGATTTACGATTGCTTGTACGCGTTGTTTACCTTCACTTTTAATTTCATTTTTTTTCATGTTTTTGTGAATGAAATTCGATTGAAATCTTAAGACGTAATCATCATTTGTAGAGGCTTGAACTGAAACACTAGTATAGTAAAGTCAATAATGATAATAATCTTCAATACAACTGTAAACAGCCCTGAGCGTGATACAAGATCTTGTTCGTTGTATTTCCTTAGATCTCCTGGTGCTCCTAGACCTACCATTAGTGAACACTAAAAACGCGAAACGTACGCCTATTTAGTACATGAATCGTATAAATGAATAAATTCACCAAAGGTTGAATTAGCTAAATGACGATACGAATTAATAATGTGTCCAACAAGTAAAAGGTAGAGGCAATGATGTCGAGACTGCAACTATGATTGACAGGAAGAAGCATCATTTGAGAGAACCTTATTATTAAGTTGACCACAGCGCTTCACCGAACAATTGTTTTGGCAGTTTTTAGCCAGTTCTACCCTTCTGCGAATATTGGATTTTGTCATCATGAGGGTCAAGACCATCAGAAGTGTGTTGCTGAAACCAAACAATACTTGGCTTGAGTTCAAGATGCTTTATATGACCATGTACATGTCACGGTAACTGTCATGTCACGTTTCGTGTTATTAATTAAATTTTAAGTACGTCACGTGAAGATGTTTTTTTTCCAATTGAACTATTATTCAATGATAATTGTATTGATGTTATATAAAGGAAAAAAAAAACATTGAGGAATATCACACTATCTGAAGTTTAAACTACAAGGCTGGTGAACGAACTCTAATCCATGGACACTTAGAGATTATTAAACTTAATACATTCAGTGACAGTTATATAATTATCTGACATAGTTTTTTAAAATCCATATGTACACTACTTCAATCACATAGTTTTTAAAAAATCAATATGTTATAATCGATGTTTGATAATTGCCAGCTTTATATTAATATAGTTTTTGTAAAATGTCATTTGTTAATATGCAGGATTAGTCTATGTGGCATTATTGTCATCGTCAAAAGATCGTTTGATTTATGAAAAGATTTAGATTGCCAATTTATCAAAGAAATTAATATGTAAAGGTTTGTGTTCTCAAAGAGTTTACCGCACCACCAGTTATACATTGTCTAGAAGAAGAAATGGTAATAACGAAGTATATTTTAAGGTCTTGAGTACAAAAGCAAAATATGTTCATTGTTAAAATGGTGCTCAATACATCAATTATTGTTGGGCGATATATAACAAAACGTGAATCGTGTACTTACGCAGAGTTTCGGGCTAGAATAGGTCAGTTGTCTAAAGATCGCAAGTAACAACATGTTTCAGTTTCTGTTTTTTTTTTAATTTCATTGACACTATTTATTGTAGAATGGTAGATTTCAATGATCAAAATATTATAAATGGACGTTTTGACTTAAAGATGTTTGTTTTCTCGTCTCGCGTTACACAGTAGAAACCGGATTAATACATATATTACTGTAGACTAAGTCGTACGATTAATTCTTATCAGATACATTGATAACATTACATACCAATAGATCTATATTAGGTTCTCGAATTGTCACAACTATTCAAAATTCCTATAAAATCATCATTCGTGAAGTTTCGACAATAAAACCTAAATGTATTGATGAAATAGGTTTATGATCACGAAGTTCGGATTAATATAATATTATAAATTAAGGCAGCCATACATTATGACATCAATATATACAAATACAACAGTACTTACGTGATTACTCTCTGAATATTAATTAACAACTATTGATACATGTCTAATTTAGGAGATTTTGTTCTTATATTGGGTATGCGTGACTGAATAAGTAGATGAATAGTCTATACTATATTTAAGATGAAATTCAATTATAACAATGAAGAGATTCACATCTAAATGCACAGTTCACACCAAACTCTGGAGCTTTCACGCCAGGAAATCTTGGAACTTTACAAGTTACTACTTATTATAATTCCACAGTTCAGCAGTGCTTGCAACAACGATGTGCTTTATTTCGAGTCAAAATCAATTACATCGAACTTATTCAAAGATGTATACCTGATGTGAACTTTTATTTAATCCAGTATGAAATGCATCTGATACTTAAGTGTAAACGGGGCCTTAAACTGAATAATATATTAGTATTGTGTAAATACAGCTGAATGAAGTAGACTATTTGATAACAAAGCAAAGAAGAAACACTTCGGACAGTTGAATAGAAACTACGTCTCGTGAACATCTTGGTAATATTTACTGAGTTTGAACAATTTCAATAAACAAAGTGTATTCTGAAATTATACTATAAAGTTACCAAATTTTTTTTCTGTATTGTTGCAAGAAGTAAATTTTAAAGGCGTGTAATAACCGAAATTCGAAACGTTTTAAATTTTATCCAAATGGCATGCCTTAAGTATGTATTGACATAGCAGGGTAATTCTTTAAACGAGTTTTTTAATCAAGGCTATTAAGTATGTAGAACAGGTATTCACCCCCAAAGAGGGTAATTAGGACGTTTAGTAGTCACAATTACAATTTAAGCCTTTCTGTTTGGCTATATTCTCTGACATGAAAAAGATTGCAGGAAAACAAAAAGAAAATCACGAAATAGTAGTATAGTAGAGAGGGGCGTAATGCAATCCATCAACGACCCTGAAGTGGGTAATAGGAAGAGAGAGGTTGGACACCATTGAATTGTAGACCATCGAACCAATTTTATCAAAACACAGATCTAATGTTACGTTACGCGTGTTCATTGTACGTATGGTTTTTTTGATAGTACAGAAATAAAAGACACAAATTACATATACATTTACAATATCGTCGGGAAGCCTCTAGGCTGTGACCTCATTCATTTTCTCAAGACCTCTGGTTCCCAACTCTTCTCAATGCAAAAGATACTCCCACAATAAGCGCAGTAAAAAGAGTTATCAATTTTACGTCCATGAACAACTGCTTGACTAAAAAAAACTAATCAGGCATATTAGATGTCTCCCGAGAAATAAATAACATCTTCACTTCCAGGAGGAATTTCCTAATATCGAAAACCAGAATAAATTTTTAAGTCACAGGTATCTTGTATATGAAATAAAAAGATTGTTGTGTGGCTTTTAAGTTGAATAACAAACCTATTGAAACATATCACGAAGAGTCGATAACAACCCTAACAAAACG